CTATACCTTGTGGCTAATAGCCACTGATGGACCTCTGCTCCATATGCTTATCTAATTCCCTTTTGAAGCCGTCCATGCTTGTAGCACCCACCACTTCCTGTGGCAGTGAATTCCATGTGTTAATCACTCTTTGGGTGAAGAAGTACTTCCTTTTATCCGTTCTAACCCGACCGCTCAGCAATTTCATGGAGTGCCCACGGGTTCTTGTATTGTGAGAAAGGGAGAAAAGTACCTCTTTCTCTACCTGCTCTTTCCCATGCATAATCTTATAAACCTCAATCATGTCACCCCTCAGTCGTCGTTTCTCCAAGCTAAAGAGCCCTAAGCGCCTTAACCTTTCCTCATAGGGAAAGTGTTCCAACCCTTTTATCATTCGAGCTGCCCTTTTCTGCACTTTTTCCAAAGCTATAATATCCTTTTTAAGGTGTGGTGACCAGAATTGCACACAGTATTCCAAATGAGGTCTCACCATTGATTTATATAGGGGCATTATAATTTGGCTGATCTGTTTTCAATACCCTTCCTAATAATCCCCAGCATAGCATTGGCCTTCTTTATTGCAGTCACACACTGTCTCGACATTTTCAGTGAGTTATCTACTACAACTCCAAGATCTCTCTCTTGATCAGTCTCTGCCAGTTCAGACCCCATCAACGTGTATTTATATTTAGGATTTTTGGCTCCAATGTGCATCACCTTGCACTTGGCCACATTGAACCCCATTTGCCATTTTGACGCCCACTTGCCCATCTTTGACAGATCCCTTTGGAGTGCCTCACAATCCTCACTGGTTTTCACCACCCTGAACAACTTCGTATCATCCGCAAATTTAGCCACTTCACTGCTTGCTCCCAACTCCAAATCATTAATGAACAAATTAAAAAGCAGTGGACCAAGTACTGATCCCTGCGGTACCCCACTGCTTATCCCCCTCCACGGAGAGAACTGCCCATTTATACTCACTCCCTGTTTTCTATTAATTAGCCAGTTTTTGATCCATAAAAGGACTTGTCCTTTTATCCCATGATTTTTGAGCTTACTTAGGAGCCTTTGATGAGGAACTTTATCAAAAGCTTTCTGGGTTATGAGGGTGGAATTACAGGCCCCAGAGTGGAATGACAGCCCCTGGGAGTAGCAGGAGTGTTCTGAGGGTGGAATGACAGGCCCCAATGTGGAATGACAGACCTTTGGGTAGCAGGAGCGTCCTGGGGCTGGAATGACAGACAGGCATCAGTCCCAGAACACTCCTGCTCCCACCAGGAGCTGTCATTCGTCTGTGGGGCCTGTCATTCTAGTCCCAGAAGATTCCTGCTACCCCCAGGGGCTGTCATTTCACTTGGGGGCCTGTCATTCCAGTCCCAGAAGACTCCTGCTATCCCTAGGGGCTTTCATTCCACTCTGGGGCCTGTCATTTCACCCTCATAACCCATCTGTTACCTCCAGGGGCTGTCATTCCACTGTGGGTTCTGTCATTCTATCCTCAGAACACATCTGCTACTCCTAGGGGCTGTCATTCCACCTTGGGGCCTCTCATTCCAGTCCAAGTCCAGTGTATTTGGGACAGGGCCGGATTTAGACTTGCTGAGACCCTAAGCTATAAAAAACCCAGAGGCCCCCTACTGTTTTAAATTACATCAACTGGTCTCAGAAAAAATTAAAATATATACACCTTTTTAATATTTGAAAATATATTGTCTTTTAATTTTTATTAAAAAAATAATAAAGGATGTGTTTACAAAATCACAGAAATAATTACATAATTAAAGGGTTTTAAAATGACAAATAAGGCTCCAGCAGATTGCGAGGCCCTAAGCTGTAGCTTATTTAGCTTATGCGTAAATCCGTCACTGATTTGGGACCAGCGACCTTAATGGAAATTCCATTCCACATTTTCCTTGCAACTCTTCTTGAGCTGTAATCTATTTCAATGGAGCCCATGCAAGTCAACTGGCATTCCCGATTCCTGGCTCCCATTATTTCCAATAGGCCTTCAAGTCTCTCCCATTGTTTCTAATGGGCAATCCTGTCCTTCCTTTTAGTACATCCCTTCAATCTGTATACCAAGTCAAATCGAATCAAAATCTTTTCATTACAGTCCGTGACAATAACTAATAATAATAATAACGATCCAATTACCAGTAAAAACAACAAAAATGTGAGCTATAACAAATCTTGTCGCTAGTACCTGGTGACAAGGACGAACACTAACTTACAATATGAAGATAAGGTCAGGGGATATCATGGTACAGTGCTTAATCAGGCTGATGTATGTCTTTCTAACATACTGAAAACTCTCCAACTTTTAAACATTTTTAAAAGAATTTTGTCGAAGGAGTTCCAGAAAAGCCCTGACTAGAACAAAGTTTGAGTCCACTGGCACCTGGAAGACCACCAAAGTTTAATTCTGGGTATAACCTTTTTTATGTATGCAGACTTCTTCAGATATGTGAAGAAGTGGGTGTGTATGTGAAAAGTTGTACCCAGAATGAAACTTCAGTGGTCTTCAAGGTGCCAGTGGACTCAAACTGTTGCTTCAGACCCTCACAACTACCCACCAGAATCTGCTTATTTGTACTGTTATTTATTTGCCTTACTACACACAATAATAGGGTCATAAGCAGGGCTATTTTTGGGCAGGAACGCACAGGAACGGAGTTCCGGCTGACTCCCAAGTTGGCCACGCCCAGCAGGAACTCATTAGCATAATAGGCCACACCCAACAGCAGGAACTCATTAGGATTGGCTACATTAGGGGTGTGTGGCCTAACATGCAAAGGAGTTCCTGCTACAAAAAAGCCCTGGGTTTGGACAACAAACAAGGTAAACAGAATAACAAACAAAAGGTGGGTGTGGCTGGATGAGCACACTTCTGGTAACGCGGGTGCGACCTAATATGCCAACGAGTCGCGCTGTCAGAGGTGTGGCCCAATATGCTAATGAGTTTCTGCTGTTGGGTGTGGCCTATTATGCTAATGAGTTCCTGCTGGGCTTTTTCTACAAAAAAAGCCCTGGTCACAAGCAATGCTCCCTCTAAGCTGTGGAGACCTGTGAGCAAAAATTCTTCTTTGTGAGCTACTGACATTAAAGTTGTGAGCGAGTATAGATAGGAACTCTCAGTCTGGGGCAAGGGGGGCAACAGTGGGAGGGCTTCTAGTGTCCTGGCCCCACTGCGGGACATCCTGATGGCACCTGGTATTTTTATTTTTTTAATTTATTTAACTTTCAACTTGCTACCCCGCTCGAACCCCCCCAGGGGGTCTCTGAGCTGCTACAGTTAACCATTATCCCTTACCTAGGGCCACATGTATGCTGGGGTGGGGACTGTCCTAACAGCACCCAGTGGAGGGACGTTCTGGATCGACTCGTTGGCTTGTCGGCACGGCTTCTTCTGGCTTCTACCGCTTTCTGTCCATGATCTTTTTCCGGTGGTGATACAGCGGGCCTCTCTGGCGCTTGGCACGCTTCTGGTGCGGCTTCCGGCTCTGTCCATTGAGGCTCCGCTGCACCTGCGCCCTCCACGCTCCGGCGTCCTCCTGGCTCCGCCTTTTTCACCACCGTCCGGACCCTCGAAGATGTTGTCCTCCGTCGCCATTTTTCCGCTGCTCACCGTCCGCTGCTCGCCGCCTTGCCTCTCGTCACCACTCCACGAACCCCCCTCGACGGGGGTAGGGTGCCCCCTACCATCTAAGGTAGGTACCCATTGATCTACTCGCACATTTGGTGTTACATCGTGCTTTTGAACCGCTGGGTTGGCCACTGTGTGTCACAGACAGTTGGACTGGATGGGCCACTGGCCTGATCCAGCATTGGCTTCTCTCATGTTCGTATGTTCTTATGATAGAAACTCTCGGTCTGGGGCAAGGGATGCTCTGTCTTCTTGGTACTTGGGGTGGGGGGCAACAGTGGGAGGGCTCCTAGTGTCCTGGCCCCACTGCCGGACCTCCTGATGGCACCTGGTATTTTTGGCCACTGTGTGACACAGAGTGTTGGACTGGATGGGCCATTGGCCTGATCCAACATAGGCTTCTCTTATGTTCTTATTTATTTATTTATTTCTATTTATACCCCACCCTCCCCGCAGAGGCAGGCTCAGGGCGGCTGACATTTAAAAGTTAAAACAATTTAAAATCATAAAACATTTATGAGGTGCTACAAATACAATGCTACATATAGGATGCGGGAACACAGTCTTAATAGTAACCATAATGGGTATCCAGTCAGCAATAATTATACCTGCTGTCCAGGCCCCACAGTATATTAACTGGAGGCTCAGTACAGGCACCCAGTGATAAATTCCAGGGTGCAGGCTCTTAAGTCTATGTTGGACTATTAGTTAATTGTGGCTCCTCAATCGAATGCTTGGCGGAAGAGCTCTGTCTTTCAGGCCCTGCAGAATTGTAATAAATTCTTAAAGCTACAGGTGCTAATTCTGTTATTTTGACAGGGTTAAGCCCCCCGAGTTTCCCCCCTCAGGTCTGTAGAAAGTCCTGTCTTGTCTGTTCATGGCTCCAATCTCCAGATTTAAGTATCCACATATGGGGGCACATTCAGAATTAGATATATTGATGACGATAATGACATGCCTCTGTATTCTACCACTGGGATGTCATTCCTGTAGCATTCAAACTTTAAGTGGCTTCCTAGCTGAACTGAGAAGACCCTGATGCTGGGAAAGATTGAAGGTCAAAGAAGACGGGGACAGCAAAGGATGAGATGGTTAGACAGTGTCATCGATGCAACAAACATGAAACTGAGCGGGATCTTGTCCACGGGGTCGCGAAGAGTTGGACTCGACTGTGCGACTGAACAACAACAACAACAAGCTGAACTGAAGTGCTCTCAGTTCATTGTTTGAATGCCATGTGCCCAACAGCCAGGACTGTGTTCAACTGCTAGGACTGTCTGTCTGATTTGGTGTACACACATGTACTTTAGAAATGCCCTGCTGACCATGGGCTTTCTGGGAACATCTGCAGGCCACTGTGGGGAAGAGGATGCCGACCTAGATGGCTTGCAACCAAACAGAGCCTTTATACAATCTAGGAGTGTAATCCAAACCCTTTGACGCCAAGCAAGATCACTTACTCGATAATGGGAAGGCCCGGAGCTTTGCATAAGCAGGCGCCGGACGTTTCTGGGCCAAGCAGTGCTCCTTCATCCGATAGAACACAGCTCAAGCTAGCATGCAGAACTTCCTTTGATTTCTGTGGGACCTTATGCAGCCATGGGCCCAACTTGTTCCATCTCTCTCTAAAAGTCAAGGGACATTCAACTGGTTTAACTTGAATGTGATTATTTCCCCAAAGTCTCCTCCAGGCTATTTGGTTGACAGTCATAAATGTTCTTGATTTATCACAGTACTGCATGATTTAGGAGGGTTATGATTATAAGGCAGTCCTCCAGCCGTCGCTGTAAGGGCCTCTGCTTGGCATGGAGAAGGTCCCAGGTTCAAGCCCTGGCATCTCCAGTTGAGAGGACCAGGCAGGAGGTGATGTGAAGGACCTCTGCCTGAAAACCTGAAGAGCAGCTGCCTGTCTGAGTAGACAATACTGACTTGGGTGGACCGAGGGTCTAGTTTGGTGTCGTGGTTAAGTGCGTGGACTCTAATCTGGGAGAACCGGGTTTGATTCCCCACTCCTCCACTTGCACCTGCTGGATGACCTTGACCAAGCCATAGTTCTGGCACAGCTGTTCTTGAAAAAGAGCAGTTTCTGTCAGAGCTCTCTCAGCCCCGCCTACCTCACAGGGTGTCTGTTGTGGGGAGGGGGAGGGAAAAGAGATTGGAAGCCGCTCTGAGACTCCTAGTGAAGAGCGGGGTATAAGTCCAATCTCTTCTTCTAAGAACCCTTAGCGGGCAGCAGGAAAGGTGTTGGTGGCCACCACGCTGGGGACTTCTGGGCGAAGTGAACCAGGAAGTCTTGCTTCAAGTCTTCCCGAGGGGCAGAGGACAAAGATAAAACTGCCTTCTGAAGTTCAGTGTAGACATGATGCTGCCAGGGCCGTTGGTGACTCTCCTTCCCAGCATTCTAAAGGGGGATTGCAGGTGCACGAGGGGCCCTTCCAGTCTGATAGGGGGCTTAGTTCCCCACCCTACAATTTTGCTGATAAGATTCCCCCCTTGCACTGCAATGGTAGAGAAAAAAGGCAGGAAAGAGCCTCTCTGGATCACTGCCACTCTCAAACCCATTTTTAGGTGTGGTGGAACGTGCCTGCTCTGGCCTGCAGGCCCTATTCTGCCCTGCCCTCCCAGGTGTTTTTCCCCACCTGGAGAGGCTTTTCTTCCACTCTTGGGTAGCCTGCCGCCGCCGCCACCACCTGACCTTTTGTAAGGAATTGCCCACTGGGGGGGTCAGGACTCCCAGCTTTCCCATTCCCAGTTCTGAGGCCTTGCCTCTGTGTCTCCCGCTGCCCAGCTCCGGGTCACCACAGGGACAGTTTACTGCCATGTGCGCCCCTGGAGGAATAGCCACTTGCCAACTGCCTGCCTTCCCCTGGCTCTCCTTTTAAAATAGGATGTCTGAGACAGTGGAGGTCTAGGTGGTACAGAGAACCACTGCCAGCATCAAAAGTAAAATGTTCACAAGCATACTTTTAGCACAGCACCAGACTGAGCAAGGGACACCAAAGAAATAGCTAAAACACAAATCCTCCGTGCCTCCCTCTCTACATGCCCTATCAGATGCTAAAATAGGACAGGCTCTTTAGCTTAGGTAGTTACAAATCCCTACAAAGTGGCCATTACCTTGCAGCTCTCTCCAGCTCTTTAGGCCAGCACATGTTCAAAAATGGCTGCCTTCCCAGAGGAGAGGTCTGCGTGCGCTCATGGACTCAGCACCCAAGAAAAAGAGTTCTCCTTCTGGCTGCCAGGAGTATTTGTCATATCTGTTTCTCCACCCACTGACCAGCTCATGCCTGGACAAAGAGGCTTTTCCTGGATGTCTCTAGAATTCTCCTTCCTGAAAACGTTCTAGCCTTAATCCCTCCGAGTCTCTGTTCCCTGCTTGAAGAAGGGGAAGAGCTTGACCCACCTACAATCTCTCCTGCTAGATCTATTAGCTTATGTACGAAGGTGAGCTGTCTGAAAAGAAATTGCACTGACTCCCCCACACACACACCTGTTCTCTGCCCAGAGGGGGAGGGGGAAGCCTGTTAAAACGCCAAGTGGAGGTTTTGCCCATTTCAGACATCCCAGGAGAAAATGCATTTCTTCACATAGGGGTATGCTCCGCTTGAAGGTTTGAATTCAAGCTCCCTCTGCTGCTTGCCGTTGTTGCATCTCCCTCTCCTTCCACGCTTGCCGCTAAGAGGACTGACATGCTTAGTTGAGCACACCAGAGGCCTTGGGCTTAACGGCTACCCCCTCGACCCTTCTGCTCCTGGCACACGTGGACTCTGCATCGCAGAGATCAGACTGGCCCTGTGGAGAAACACCATTTTATGTATACATTTACGTTGGTGTGGGCCAGATAGGAGGGGACTATCAAACCTGAGGTAGGCCTTGGCCTAGTCTCCTCCTCATTTCCCACCCCCTCCTTGTTCCAACCAGTAGTCAGAGGGCAGCTCCCTAGAGAGGACAGGAAGTCCGTCAAGGCTGTGAGGAGATCTGCCCCAGAATGCTGCAGGAGGGAGAGTCACTTCCTGGGCGGGAAGGGCTGTTTGATATAGTGGAGCTTTTGGGCGGGAAGCCAGTCTGTGAGAACTGAGGTCGGTCTGCCTGAAGTCTGGAGCCAGTCAGGCTGTTGGCTGGAGTCTGCAGGAGGCAGAGGCCATGTTGGGAGTGGTGCTAATCTAACCTCCTCCAGTGGAAGCAAGTCGTGTGCCTGCCCTGCCAGACCATCTAGACAGGGCATCAGTGTAGTGAAGGGAGAGATGGAGCGATTTATGATCCACCTTTATTTTGATTCTTCAGTTCACTGTTAATATGCCTGTATATAGTTGAGTGGTTTCAAAATAGATCCTTTTACTGTTGACCCTGAGAAGTCCCTCTGTACCGCATAGGTCCCCCAGCCGCTTGGACACACTAGGAGTGGGTTGGGGACTCCCTGAGGAGAACAAGGGCAAAATGGCCAGTTGCCAACTCTCCAGGGGAACCCCAAAGTACCTGGAAGCCCCGAGGTGGGTTCCTAGCAACAGCAGAGGGAGGTTAGGAGGCTGTCCTGCCTAACCAGAGCCCAAGACAGGGACAGTGGTGGCAGCAATACCCGGAGGCAGTGGTGAAAAACTGCCCCTTCAGGTGCCAGAGGAGGCAAAGGAGGGGTGGGCAGAGCGGGGTCTGCCAGCTGATGCGGGCCCGTTCCGCCACAGGCCCCATTGAAAATCAAAAGGAGTTTAAGAAGAAAATAAGCAGCAAAGTGAGCGACGATACCAAGGAAGGTGAGTAAAACACAAATCCTCTAATCCCTGACTCATACACATCCCTACAGACGGGAATATGAGGGAGGCTGTATCCTTCTTGGAACTGCGATAGATTAAAAGTAATCCATTACTTTAGTTTTGGTATCTAGAGGTCATCTCTGGGGAGCTTAGCACCACATGCTCATGGCTACTTCTCGGAATCAAGATGGAGTCCTCCTTGGTGTATAAAAATAGCCA